CTCTTACTGTCTCTCTCTGGCAAATACACACACCCTCTGACAAAAATCAAAATAAATAAAAATAATAAAAGATTAGGAATGCAGACACAAAAAGATGATAATGATAATAAGAAAACGAAAGAAAAAAGATGAAAGAAGTGGGTTTTTTTTAGTAAAAAATGTGAACATTTTCTCACTCTGGAAGATATTTAAGTGGACACCGGTTCTGCTTAAGAGAAAAAAGTTTCTCCTTCTATGTTTGTTTTTGTGGTTGCTGTTTCCTTTGAACACTTTTTCTAATGATTATCAGTTATTAGTTCCTGCATATGGCCAGAGTAGAAAGAAAATAGGATAGAAAAATATTTCTTGTCAGTTTAGGACATTTAAAATAAAAAAGGGGGGCTGGCAGGTGGCATGGTGGTTAAGGGCACTGGGCTCCCACATGGCCGACCACAGTTCAAGTTCCGAACCTTTTGACTGGCTTTCTTACTTTCCCTCTCTTCCTCTCACTCTGTCCCTCTCTGGTCAATTTAAAACAAACAAATAAATAAAGTTAAACTAATTCTTAAAAAATAACAAAACACATTAAAAGGAAATGTATTCTCATAGAACCCATCTCACAGACCAACACGATACTCTTTTCTACGGCTGGTCCTCAGGTTAACTATTGCATCATCCTTAACTGGAAGACTGAGAGCTGGTTCCCTATGGTCAATTCCCAGGAAGAAAGTGGCATTTTTACCCTTCACCAATACATGGCTCTCTGACTTAAATTCTTACTTCTCAAAATAAGTTCATTTAAGTCCAACGTAATGAGTAAGTGAAAACCTTGGATGCCTGTTTTCTGTTCTGGCACTTCCCTACGTGCTTCGCATTTTCTTTCCCCAATAACTGTCCATTTCCAGTATTTTGTCTGGATTATTAGGAGGTACAGCTGTCAACCTACACTAGCCTTTCTTCAGTTTGCCATAGAAAGTTCTTAGGGTTTGTTTTTTGTTTTGTTGAGGGAAAGTGAAAATCACCCCCAAGGGGGATGAGCATGTTGTAATCTCTTCTCTTCCATTCTCTCTGGATTTTGAGCATGCATGCACACATGCCCAGAGTGATTTTCAAGCCTCCAGGTCACCTGCTGGCCCCATCCGTAGAAAGTATTACTCTGAGACCAGCCTATCCATGGTGGTTAAGGTGGCCGGATTCCACATGGCTGATTGCATAGTTCAAGCGCCGGACTCAGAAGTTTGAAAAACACACTGGCACACCTATGTGCATACCCAATA